CTGTTCACAATGCCAAAAATTCTAGGTATGCCTCTGATGCTGAGAGTGTCCTCACCCAAGGTATGCCTGTTGCCTAGTGGTTAGCTATTAACACAGTATCCCAAGAATTAGGGCATCTGTGGTAGAAACCTCTTAAGCTGAGTGGGGCCTAGAGTCCAGGTTCCCAACTTCCTGAGAGAGTGCTCTAAATCACTAGGTTTATGCAAAAGGTGGACGTCAACCTCATCAATCCCACTGGAGGTGAGCTAGGTACTCTGCTTCTACCGTGTTGGGTGGACAACCCTGAGTCAGGCACCAGGTCCTCTTGTCTAGCTCTTTACTTGCACTCTAAGTACTGGGCCATGTATGCCACTCTGCAGGACCTAGGGACCTAATGCAGGTCACGTGACTCAGAGTCCTTTGTTATAATACATAAAACATGAAATAAACTCCAGAAAACTATGCTATATGATTGCACGGATTTATTTGCATGTATTTTAAACAGGAAACCTTTTATATCTGGATGTCGTGCTTGGCGCACAAAAAACAAGAGAGACTTATACATTTTTAAGACTTTGACATGACTTGACATGAGAAATCTAATGTTCTTGTACCCTCACTGCTACAATGATTCAGGTTTCTCTTGAGGCATAAGGCTATGTTATTCCAAGGTGCTCTCTCTTAAGGGGATGCGCATCGGCCACAAAAGAGAATGTTGTTGGTTCCATTGTGTTTGATAAAGAAGAGGAAGGGGTGATCAGCCCTAAACTCATGAGGAATTGGCAAATTTTTAGGAATTACTACAACCCCTGAACCTGCAGTTGCTTCAGTGCCCTCTTCATTAACATCCACATAAGACTTATGAATGGCTTTGGACACAACCAGGTTAGGTTTTCCTGACATTCCTGATAAATCAGCCTTCAAATGGTCAAACAGATCCAGCATTCCCATAGCCTGCAGAATTTCCCCAAGGTCATAGCTTTCCTCTATCTTGAATTTGGGCAAGTACACATCCACGCTGGCCTTTTTAGCCAAACTGGTCCATTCTTCAAATTTCTTGCAGGTAAGTGCACTTTCAAGCTGTAGGGGCAAAATCCAGAGAATTGGGAACTTATGAGAAAGGTATGTAGCACTACAAAAACAAGAGTGCTGTGAGTGGGCACTATTAGCTGTTGCTGCCATGGCAAAAGTTGATTTATGAAATCATCACAGTGCTCCTAGGTCCCGAATTGCCCACACACCCATTAAAGTTTCCAGTGTACAGGCAGTCTGGGGGTGGGGGCCTCTGCTGTAGCAGTGTTCTCTGGATTCAGGCAGAGAGTTACCATGTTCAGCATGTTTATCATTAATTATATAAACCAATGGATCACTGGTACTAATGGAGCTGATTGAAGAACAGGAGCAGGAAACTTTTTGAAATAACTTTTAATTTTTTCCTGTGCCATGTGAGATGAAAAACAATTTTTTCATTGAACTGTGAAAACTTGCTACCCAGATTAAAGGTTGCTCATAAATAAATAAAAAATGAATTAACGTGTTATTTCTAGACTGTCACTTAAATTTCAAATTTTCAGTATTTTTCTTGAAATTTGAAATTCCATGTAAATTCAATTAATACTTTACCATCTGTTTAGTACAGTGAAAAATAAAATAATTGTATACTAAGAACCAAGTATTGCTTTCACAAACTTTTCTTCACAATTATGCTGTCTTCCATGTGTGTGTGTGTGTGTGTGTGTGTGTGTGTGCGCGCGCGCGCACGTATGTAGAGTTTTCATCTGGACAAAAATCCCACAAAGTGTAACCTCACTAAGGTAGATGGGACTCCAATTAAATTTGAGAGATTAGGTCAGGCTGTCTGTTAAATGGTGGCTTAATGAAATGTGTGCTTCATGTTTCAGGAACTCAATAGAAATATAACCTGTATAGGCTTGTTACTTATTCCACAATAAAGGGGGAAAAAAGATTATGACGCTCTAGTATTTTCTATTACCTACCTGTACTGTCCAGATAATTGAAAACATGCAGAGATTGGTGTATTCACAGGCATGTTTTATAGAGACCTTCACATGGCCTATCAGAAATGGAAGTTTTACCTGTTCCAGGCCTGTGGAGTTATCCCCGATGTCTTTTGGTAGAAGAATGAACATACTCAGTTCTTCTGTCTTGCCATAGGGGAGCTCAAGCACTTGAATCTCAGGTTCCTCTATGATGGCCAGGTTGTATTTGCCATTTTGAAACATCATCTGCACATTCTTGGTCTCGTTCTGTAATAGGAAGGACAGGTGTGAAGAGAATTCCCTCATCCAAAGTCTGGTTACTGGAAACACAGACAGACCAATCTGGCCTGGGATGCATTTCTAACTTGATCATTTGGGCAAGATTTAATACTAAAACTGACAGAGCACCGTCTTGGAAATGGCCCAGGATCACCCTTTCCACAGCCAGTGCCTATTCAAGGGTAGATGCCGTGGTGTAGCTGCACCCTCTTTGCCTGCGCCATGCATGTGCAGTGAACTCTGAGCTCGCTGCCTAGTCAGTGCTGACTGCTGCCACATTTGCAGTGAGCTCATCAGTTGATCAGAGCAAGATCTGGGCCAAGCTGCTGCTGTTGCATTGCTCCAGAGCCCAGGGAGTAAGTACCTCTGTTCACCTTCACCTTACCTCCTCTCTTTTCCAGCCCCTCCCCTTCCCCCCCACCCCGCCCCGCCATTTCCACCCCTGTACCCAGTGAATTCAGCAGCAGAGGAAAGGGGGGGGATGAGTGGCAGTGCTCATACTGTGGTCTCTCGGGCCACGTGAAAGTGGTGGCTCCCACTTGAGTTCATCCCAATCAGCTGGTGTGCTCACGGAGCTCACTACATGAGGGGAGCTGGGACAGAAAGCCAGGCTAACCAGATGGTAAGCTCAGAGCTCACTGCACATCCGAAGCACAACCAAACAGAGGTATGATCTCAGTCTCGGCGCCCCCCCTTGTCCTGCTCCAGGATCTACAGTATATTGACCTCTCTTTCGGTTCTTTGCAGGTAAAGATCATAATGGCCACTAGAAGTTCTCCTTTCCATTCAAAAGAGGGCAAAACTGTTTTGTCCCCATGACATTTTCCCTTACTAATCTTTTATTCCTAAAAAAATTATACTTGACCAATTCCCTGTAATCAACTAAGTCTTCCACGGGAAACTCCCAGAAGAAGTTTCATTGCTGAGGGATGAATGCTGGACTTACCCCCTGCTGCAATCACTGTTACAGTATTAGCAAACTCTCTGTAAGAGTTAACTGAAAGGGTTGCTACACAGTGAATGCAAACTTACCTTTGCTTTTCCTAGAAGAACAATAAGAGCTGGGCTCCTTTCACCTTAGCCCTTGACCATATTGTACCTTGTTCAATCTGAAAGCTGTTTCCTTAGTGTCTTCTTCCTTAAATTTTACCGACCAATTGCCTTTGAAGTAGATAGCATTGACCAGCACCAGAACAGCATCATTACTGATAATGCCAGGAGGGAACAGCTCTTGGATTTTACCTTTAAAAATGATGAATTTGCATGCATTAACATACTTCACCCAGATAATAAACTAGAGCTGATTTGTAATAATTCAGGGGTCACTGATGGTGAAAAAAATCTTGAAGAGAAAATAGATGCGTTTAAAAAATAAAATAAAATCAATGCTAAGCAACTGTGGAACCTCCAAAGGACTTGTCTACAGCTCCTCCCTGCCAAGACCAGGCCAACTGCCAAGAAGCAGATCTGACCACTCACACCTGCCCCATTTGTGTGTAAATCCAATTCATTCAGATCAGTCAGAGGTGGCAGGGGTGCATGGCCCCTGGTACTACTCTCAGGGTCACAGGAAATATCCTGGGAGTGGTGCTGAGGTGTGCACTATTTTCACCTCTCTAGGCCAGTGTTGCTCAGCCTTTACATAAAAGGGCTGTATCTGGTCCATCTGCATCTGGATTCAGCCCATGGTCCCAATTTGGCACCTGAGGCAGGGCCCCATCTGGCAATTCAGAGCAGTGGGGCTGGGGGGTGGGGGGGCTGGCACAGCTTAGCTTAGCCCAGCCCAGCTCAGCCCAGCCCAGCCCCTAGACAGCTGTGTGGGGGACAGGGCTTGGCCCTGCCCCAAACTGGCAGGGAGAAGGGCATGGCCTGGCCCTCCTCCATCCACACTGGGTAGAGGGGAAATGGGGGGGGCATGGTCCCAATTTGCTAGTGCAGGGGGAAGGGGGCATGGCTCTGTCCCTGTTTGGCCATACAGGGTTGTGGACACAGCCTGACCCTGCAGGGAGGAGGGGGCATGGCCTGGCCTCAACCTGGCGGCACAGAGTTGGGGAATGACCGGCCCTCATGCTGGTTATATTGATTGCCACCACACCCCCGCCACCAAATTTCCCTTCCCTTGAGGAGTCCCATGGGCTGGATGCCATGGCTCTCTGGGCTGGATTTGGCCTACAGCCACAGGTTGAGCACCCATCCTCTAGGCCAGCATTTTTCAACCTGTGGGTTGCAACCCAAAATTGGGTTGCAAGAATATATGAGGGGATTGTAAACAAACTTTACAAATGGATCAACAAATTTAAAAATGAACTCTCCTTTAAAGGAAGAAAACATGGGAAACTGTTTTTTTTCCTTGCAGGCTGTTAGAGTTCCAGCCTATGAGGGGCTGCTTGGGACCCCCATTACCCTCGCCCCCTACACACACACACTAGCAGGGTTGGGGCCTGGGGGTAGGGGGCAGTGGGGTCAGGAGCAAGGGACACTGGGTTGGGACTGGCCATTGATGTTTACAAATGGGTCCTGGTACAAAAAAGGTTGAGAACCACTGCTCTAGGCCACCTACTCTGCCTAATTGCCAGGCTTGGCTGGTGGGCAGAACAAGAGCAAATGAGCAGAAAATGTTATTAATCAACTGCCTGTGGCTCTTCCAGGATCCAGCTCAGACATGTCCAAAAATGTCTTGATCCTGTATCCAACTTTCTAATGTTAACAAATATGCAAAGATGTTGTGGAATACCTGGAAGCGAACCTTGTTAGGCTGGGACAAAATGGAAAAAAAAAAATCACCATCAGGCACCCTATCCCTAACTAGATTCCATATTCCTACCTAGTTTTCATACGTGTTCATCCTAAAACTCAGTGGTGTAACTGGGCAGGGGGAGAAGGCACAATAAGGGCAATAGCCCCAGGTACCAACTTAATGGGGCAAAAGAAGGCAGCTGCTGCTGGTCCCAGGCACCCAGCCACATCCCCATGCAGTTGTCCTGTACATACCATTTGTCTGATTTTCCACCCAGGAGTTAATCTTTCCTCTGGTCTCTTCTAGAGCGCTGCTGAAGTCAACAGCTTCCAGCTCAGCGTGGTATAGTGTCTCTGTGCACCTTAAGTATTGCTGGAAAGCAGGAAAGATATATGCGTGTCACTACAATAATTGGGTCTATAACTTCCTGTGTTTAAGATACTTCCCTATTGCACCGGAGCAAGAATGGAATAAGGTGAGACTACAACCTGAGGCTGTGCCAGTGCAAAAAAACCCTTTCTACAGAGACCATTTTAAAGAAAATCTGTTTTAAATACTATTTTTCTAACCACATCTGTTCTTTCTGTGCTGCCAAATCTATTAGTAGCTCTGTTACACTTTTCAAGATGCAGGTCAGAACTATCAGAAAAAATGTGGCAAGGGTTAAACAGGACACACTCGTTATGCCCCTAAACCCATAGTTAGACATCTATCGGGATGCGGGGGGTTCCTACAGGGAGGAAACAGGGAAATAGGAATAAATATGACTATACTACAGGACATCTTTTTTGGAAAATGACCTAACTTTGTTATTTTAAATACATCCCACTATATTTCAGGATATATCAAAATTCTGCAGCATTCATTACTAGCATGGAGACTATTGCAGCTTACCTGAAGGAAGTGAAAATCCTTTGCTCCATACAGCCTGTTGGCAATGCTTAGAGAATAATCGGTGCAAGGTTGGTTGATGGTTGTTAAGAGTGCCTGGAATTGAGAGTGGACTCCTCCAGCTTTTTCACACTGCAAAAACCAAAATAATAGTTTCTTTAGCAAGATGAGCCTTTCATCTGTGAAGCTATATCTGATGTAGGATAGCTACCTCGCCACCAAGAAATGCGCCTGATGCTCCCTGCTAAATTGTAATAGACTCAAAATGCTTTCCTTCAGAAAATTTGATGCTCCACAGCTCCAGTGCGATATACCAGTATAAATATTCCTACAATCTCATCATAACCAACAGTGATTGGTCTGTGACTGCAACTTCCTCTGCATTTATTCTTTCCCT